TATAATGTAAATTTATATAGAATATTAAAAAAGGTTAATTATATTTTTCTCAATCAAGTAATTTACAAGACAATTGTATATGTACGTGTATAATATGTATTATATTTTTTTGAGAATGTTTTAAAATTAGTAATTTACACAAGTGTAGACTATATTAATATTTTTCTAATCTAAAATTATTTTAGTTTCTTAAATTTTTTTTATATTTTAATTCTTTCATTTATACATATTATATTTATTTTATATATTATATATATTTTCTTTTTTTAATTTTAATCTAATTCTCTTAGTTCTAATTTAATTCAAATTTTTTTTAATTCTGTGAGGAATATAATCAAAGTCAGCTCAAAGCGCCCGCCATTGGTAGTTAGGATGTGTGAGTGAAACGAAAGTGCACGAAAGTGTAAATGAAAAGAGGAATTTATGAGTACTTTACACTGATAGAGAAACAAAGGGACATGTTGAAAGAATAAGAAATATAATTAAAATATAATTAAAATATAATAAATTATAATGGCATCCGCAGACTTGTTTGTTTTTTTAAAAACACCTTCTGTGACATCCTAAGGCGTCTCATGCCATAGAAATGTAACGTAACGGAACCCGCGAACTAATCATAGTGAAAGAATGAAAAGAATGGACGAGCTTTCTATTTGTTCTTCCGTCATGATTAGTTCGCGCGTTTCGTTACGCTGAAATATCAAAATGGAGACATTGAAAATAAAGTTAATAGAAAAAGAAACAAGAAGAAAAGATAAGAAGAGACATAAAGGAGATATTATAAAACAGGAAAGGGAAGTCTCTGATACAAATAAAGGACGAAGTTATTCTAAGGACATGCATACAAAACCAAATTTTCTGGAAATTATCATATATGCAATGAATATGAGCATCATGCGATAGAATGTTGAAACAAAGGCAAGGAATGTGACTAAACTCAATAGAGGCTACGATGACTGCCACAGCTATGAATGCACAGTCAGAAAACGGCACATGGTGTCTAGATAGTGATGCGACAATACATATGTACTGTGACAGGAACCGATTTAATATGATTGATGAATCAAAATAAAGTACGAGAGTTGTTCGATAAGTCAGGTAAATTTTTCGAGATAGCACCATAATGAACTGTGTAGTATATGGCCAGAAGTAACACTATTCAAACTTACTCATACCAAGTTTCAGCCAAAAGTAACGCTTAGTTTACATGTGGTAGACGTTGGAAGTGAGCATGGCAGCAGTTGTCGTAAAAATGAAGAAAGACGAATTCCGTGCAGTGATTAAACATTTTTATTTAAAGAAGTGATAGGCTGCGCAGATTAAAGCCGAATTGGACGAAGTTCACGGGGGACTCTGCATCAGTGTTGAAGACCGTTTTTGGATTAATGAATTCAAAAGAGGCCGGACATCAACCAAAGATGAAGCGCGCCCCGGACGTTCAGTTGAAGACTGGACTCACTACGCTAGAAATGATTGAAAAAAATCCATCGTATTGTCATCCATCGTGGAAGATCGCCGAATGAAGGTGCATGACATAGCTGAGATTGTATCTCAATAGATAGGGTGTATAATGTCCTGCATAAAGAATTAGAAACAGCTTTGTGCACAATGGGTGCCACGATCTGATTGCTGATCATCGATCAAAAATGCATGCGAAAAAACATTTCGCAGCAGTGTTTGTCGATGCTTAAGCGCAATCCACAAGACTTTTGACGTCAATTCGTCAATTCGTGACCGTAGACGAGATTTGGATCCATCATTATACATCCGAGTCAAAACAATAGTCGAAGCGTCGAAGGCATGGTGAATGTGCGCCGAAGAAAGCGAAAGACTGTTTTGTTCGGCCGGAAAAACAATGGCTACTGTTTATTGGGATTCCCAAAGAATTATCTTCATTGACTACTTACAGAAGGGTCAAACAGTCAAGAATATATTATTCTACACTTCTGAATCATTTGTACGAAGAGCTGCAAACAAAACGGCCGAGATTGGCACGCAAAAAAGTCATCTTTCACCATGACAATACTCCGACTCCACAGTTGCAATGGCAAAATTGCATGAATTAAGATTCGAATTGCTGTCCCATCCATCCTATTCTTCTGATATGATCTCTTGTGATTTCTTTCTATTCCCAAGATCTGGCTCGGGGGAAAGAAATTTTCGTCCGATGAGGAAGTCATCGCTGCTGGATGCGTATTTTGAAGATCTCGAGACTTCTTTCTACGTTTCCGAAGGGATCAAAAAATTGGAACAAAATATGTAGGACTAAATATGTAGAGTTCCAAGGAGACTACATCGAAAAGTGAAAAAGAATTTTTCGGAAAATAGGTGATTTTACTGCTTTTTTACTTGACTTATCGAACGATCCTCGTAAAATGTATACTGTTGCCAAAGACTCACTTAGTTCATTAAGAAAGGGACAAGTTAAATCAAAGTACAATCATAAGATAAGAAGACAAATAATATTAATTTAAAAGAAGCAATTTGGGTACCTAGTTTCAGAAATAATCTTTTACCTGTATTGAACATTACAGACAATGGTTATAGATATATTTGACATTTTATAGAAACTCTGCTTTAGTAAAACGCAAAAATGGTACCGTAGCACTTACTGTAAGTAAGCAAAAATGGACCGTACGTTATAAAGGAAGCAGATAGAAAAC